ATGGTAGTACACAAGCAGATATGGTAGCTGAGAGTTCTACATCCAGATCCAAAGGCAGAAAGAAGAGAGAGACTCTGGGCTTGTAATGGACTTTCTGAACCTCAAAGCCCAGCCCTGGTGACACACTTCTTCCAATAAGATCATACCTGTTCACACCAGGCCACACTCCTATTCCCCCTTACAACTCCCTGATGATGAAGCATTCAAATACATGAGCCTATGGGGGCATTCTTATTCAAACCACCACAACCATAGTCTTGTGTAGTTTTTAACCCTGGGCATCTGCCAAGCCCTTCTCCCTGGACATCCTTTCCATGCTTGGCAAATAAGAGTCACCCATGCTTCTCCATGGACAGAGTGGACATATTTCATATCACATATCCTCTGGCACATGTACTTTTCTGAGTTTTTACACACTCCCTTCACTTCCAGTATTAGAAATTCTGGACTTCCTGTTTCATGCAGTAAGGCCCAGCCTCTGCAAGCCACTCCTGGAGCGCATGGGCATTGTCTCCAGAAAATCAGGGCTGTTTGCTGACTACTGAAAGTTAGACTGTCCAAACATGGGGAGGGAGCTGAGTGGTAGAAGCCCTGCTTCAAAACCATAAAGATGTGGGTTTGATCTCTAGTGACCCTGTAATAGAGCCAGGTGTGGGGCTGTGTGGTTTTCCTGTCAGTATTAAGAAGGGAGAGGCAGGAGGACCCTGGAATCAGTGTCAAGCCTGTCTAGCCTCTTTGGTGAGTGCCAAGGCTTTTAGAGACCTTGTCTAGTCAATACTGCTGTGACACACTTGTAAGAAAGTAATTTTTATTTGAAAGTAATTTCCTCCTCAATCTGTAAGTGTGAGTTTAAATATTTCCTTCTATTACTATTATTATTACTGCATACTTGAATGTTATTACAACAGGGATGCTTTCTTTCAGTCACCTTCATTAATCCTTGTTTCTGCTTTGGCAAAACAGTGTTGCGGGAGATCCTTCTGCTCCTCCAGCCAATAACCGCTGAGATACCATCCCATTGGGGCGTGGTCTCTCTTTCTTAAAAAAAGCTGCCACTTCCCTCCTCTCTCTCTCTCTCTCTCTTTGCTTCCTGCTCCATTTCCGGCGACTAGACTCCCTTCCTGATTGCGCAGAGGGCTGTTGTCTGGGACAGTTATCTGTAAGTTTTTTTCCCCTTTAAATAAATACCACCCTATTAATCATAATTCCAAACTGGTGCGGCACTGTTTGTGACTTACGCCTTCAAAACAGTTTCTGCTCATCAAACTTCTAATTGGATTTTTCTTACAGACAACTAATGTATATTGTATCTGATCCACCAAACTGCTGAGATTGTGACCTTTGGTTCACAACCACAAAGCCAGTTCTCGGCTCGGAAGTGCTCATGCTCATGTCCACCAATCTTCTACCAGGGAGTACTTAGTGAAAAAGATTCCAGCCATTAAAGAATAAATTCCAGCCTTAGGAGTGGGAAGAAGGGGAATGTAGGTGTTGGGGGAAACCACAGAGATGGAAGAAACAGGTGACAGAAGAGGCAGAGAGGTGGAGGAAGAGGAAGTTAGTTGAAAGGAACAGGGGAGGTCCCCAAACATCCAACATCCCACTTCAGAGCAGAAGTTTTGAGATGAAAGAAGGGAAGGAAGGTTTTTTTTTACATTTTTGCATTTTTTAGTATAATTATATGGCAAACTTGTTAAAGCTTCATTTAAAAATTGTAAATTTAGATTTCAAGTCTGCACACACAGAGAAGAGTATTTATGTCCATGCCCCACTAAGTCTTTCCTATTTGTTTGTGCAGTAGGCTGAATAGAACAGCTCTATGATATTGTGTTTTCTCTTGTTAGTGAGAGTCTAGGAGACCAGGGCCCATAGGTGTGCTGGGAAACAACTGCCAAAGAAAGTGGAGAGAGATCAGGTCGTAGAGAAAGTCACAGGCAGAGATTTCTTCTTGAGAATAAGTTAGGGTTGTGGTTTAACAATGGGTATCTGGCATCTGATGCTCAGCATTGTTGTGTGAAGTGGCCCAGTGGAACACAGGTGAGTACTGTGCTCACAGGTAACTGCTCCCCTCCCATGACAAGTGGCATAGTCCAGGAGGCCTTTCCTGAACTCCATGTGAATTTACCACATGTCCTATTATGATTCCTTTCCCTGTGTGTTCAGTAGATTTTCAGTCTCAGGAACATATAATATATTTTATTCCTTAATACTTGATAAAAGTCACTAAAAGTACTTGTGAGGTAAATACCCCTGGTGATATGGTTGGTGTTCATCTCAGGGGTCATACCAACCTAATACAATCTAAGATGGCCCGGAAATATGAATCCAGAAGCTGATTGACATCCTGTGTTTTTGTCCTTCGGAGGGATTCTGGGTGTCATAGAACCATGAGTCCTGTGGATTCTGCTCCCACTTTGTACCTCACCAGCTTGTTTCTCTCACAGATACACACTCTCTTAGTTGTGACGTCATTGTCAAGGCTCATACCACACCTGGGCAGTCCTGGTGTAAAGGGCAGTGCTCAGTGGATGGAGAGCCTTTCCTGCAGTATGATGACAACAAAGCCACACCTTTGGGAGACCTGGGGAATGCTACAGATGCCACTAAAGTGTGGACAGATATGACCCAAAGGCTGAAATTAGTGGGAATAGAGCTCAGGAAGATGTTGGCTGACACTGAAAAAGAGATTACCAAGATCAGTGGTAAGTGTGGGATCAAATACTGGGGCATAGACAGGTGGCAAGAGAGAAGGGCAGAGCACATGTGGTAATGGGAAGGTGAGTGTGTTTGTATGAGGGAGTTGAGCACTGGTCCAAACTTGGAAGCATGTGGTTCCCAGAGGGTAACAAAGGATCATGTGGAAATGATCCTGGCTCATAAGCCGGTGGGAAAGTCCTGATCTTTGGAGAAGTGATGGATCTGAGAGTGAAGCATGATGGTATTGTGTGTGGTTCACAGGTCAGCCCACTTTACAGGCCACCATGCTTTCTCAGTATGAACACGGACAAATTGTTGATGCCTCCTGGACATTTAACATCAGTGGAAAGTACTCCTTCATCTTCAACACAGTGAATATGAATTGGACACTGATTGATCGTGAAGCTGGTGGGATCATGAATCAATGGAAGGATGATGAACAATTCATAAAAGATCTCAAGATAATCTCCACAGCAGACTGCAGTTATTGGCTCAAGGAACTCTTAAAGCACCAGAAGGAAAAGCCAAGTAGGTATTATCTAGATTATGAGGGGCCAACTCCATCACATTTGATAGACTGGGTGAAAGATTTCCTGTTTGTCTTACTGTCTGAGATCCAGTGATGACCACAAGGATTCCTCTTCCTCATCTCACCCTCCAGTGTTTCTCATTTCGTACTAACTAATGGCCCAGACACTACATGGCCTGCTAATGGGCCTCAAGTCAGCATCACTGTAAACTTATATCTTTTTCTGATTCACACATAATAAAAACCTAGAGACAGATGTTGGGGTTCAAGCTGAAGGTCAAAAAAGCAAAGCAGCCAAGACACTAGAAAAATCTTACCTCTATCAAGACTCAGACACACAAGGACCCTCCTGCAGTACTCTCCACCAATCTCAGACTACATACTCCCTTCAGTTCCTGTCTCTTCTTTATATTCCTCTCTCCCCTCAGCCATATCATTCCTGTGTCCACCTTCCGAGTGCTGGGATTAAAGACATGTCACTCCCTGGTACTGGGATTGAAGGTGTGAAGCACCACCGCTTGAATCTGTTTCTGGATTGATCATGTGTAGCCCATGGTGGCCTTGAACTCACAAAGATCTGTCTGCCTCTGTCTACCAAATCCTGACATTAAAAGTGTGGCTTCCCTTTGCCTGCAGATCTTCAGGCAGCTTCATTTGTTAAAACACATATACTATACAACTACACTTTCCTTCTCACTGATAGCTGCCCTTGTACCAGCTCCACATCACTGTGAAATGCTTCACTATCATTTCTGGCACAATTAAACACCACCAACTGTGTCACCATCCAGAAAGTCCTACCACATTAAGTATGTCAATTGTTTAATGCTTTGATAGACATTTGCTTTCTTTGGTAAGGAAATAAACTCTGTAAAAACATTACCCACACAGCTGCACTCCTCTCTCTACTCAGGAATTATAAATAGTTATTACACATGAGGCCCTCAGACTGAATGGAGAGAGAAGATGCTGATGGAGTTATGTTTTTAGCTTTATCCCGAACTTTGCTGATTTTTTTTTTTTAAGGACCAACATCAAGCGCCACGGATATCACTCAGCTTCCATATACCATGACCACCACCCAGATTCTGTCTTCCAAGCAGTTTTCCAATAAGGAAATATATACCATCATAGCTGTAGTCAGTGCCATCATCATCATCCTATCTGTCATTGTTGGCATTTACAAGTATGTGAAGAGAAAAATCTAATCCCCAAGGAGGTAAGGAGCAGGCTGGGGTCTCACTCTGGTTCTTGATAGGGTTAGTCTTCTGAGGACATGGAACAGGTGTCCCACGTGGTATCGGGGATGTGAATTCCAGTCTTCATTCTTTCATAGCAAGGCCCTTACCTATTGGGCCATTCTCCCAGCCCCCAACACTGACCTGTTGACTGACTGGTTACATGTTCAATATACTGTCTTCTTCTCAGACAATGAGAACTGAACATAACAAGCTTCTGAATGCATCACTTGCATGCACTCCTGTCCTGGCCCTGAGAGGGGCCCTTACCATGTACTCATCGCAAACACAACTGCAAAGGTGTTTTCACACAGTCAATAGGACTGCATGTCTACTCTTTCTGCCTATCTTCCCTCTGTGCCACCTGCAACTGAGAGGCTGCTGACCCCAGGATGGGTCTGTCTGAGAAGGGCTTGGGTGGTCTGTACTCAAAACCCCCTTCATTTGTCAGGAGTCATGGGACATTGGGTTACAAGGGAAGCGATGCCTGTCATACTTCTCTCCTAAGGTAAAGGCTTGAGTACTTTCAGACTCACTGTCTGGAGCATTGACTGTCACTGCAAAACCTTTCCAGATGTGTCCATAATGTTGGTCCGCGGCAACAATCCACAGAGGGAAGAGAGGACAATGGAGCCAAACGGAGAGTCCCTAAATGAGTCACCAAACTGTTGTCCCAGGAGGAAGAACACAAGACACAGAAATTAAAGAATTTACCAAACCACACATCTACATCACCACACCCAAGAGTCAGCAATCTATCCTAATCCCACCCCAGCCTTGAGCCATCAACATCCCCAAGCTACAGCAATGCTGGTGCCCTCTCCCTGGTCCTCCCTCTGTGCTTCTAAGCAGGGATGCTCCAGCATCCACAGACAGCATGGAATCTTCACACTTCCCCTGGATATGTTTGCTGTTCCATCCACTCTGGCACATTCATTTCTCTGAGATTCTTGATCCCCACTCTTGTACTGCTAGATTGAACAAGTCTAGATTTTCTTTGTTCTGTAGTATGGGCTAGTCTCTGACCAGGTCCTGAAAGCCATTCCTGGAGCTCTGCAGTATCCAGGAGACCTGGCGTGTGCTGTTCTGGTTTCATTCTGTTGCTGGGATAAACCCTCTACCAAATGCAACTTAAGGGAGAAACATGATCTTGTTCAGTGTTCTATTGCTGTGAAGAGACACCTTGACCGTGGCAACTCTTATAAAAGAAAGCATTTGATTGCAGCTTGTTTATATTTTCAGAGGTTTAGTCCATGATCCTCATGATGAGGAGTATGGTGGTACCCAGTTAGAGTTCTACATCCAGATCCAAAGGCATCAAGAAGAGAGAGACTCTGGGCTTAAAATTGATTTTCTAAGATTTCAAAACCCACCCCCAGTGACACACTTCCTCCAATAAGACTACTACATCTACTCAAACATGGCCACACTCCTAATCCCTCTTGGGAAGTGCCACTCCCTGATGATGAAGCATTCAAATACATGAGCCTATGGGGGCATTCTTATTCAAACCACCACAACCATGGCCTTGTGTAGTTTTTAATCCTGGGCATCTGCCAAGGCCTGTGCCCTTCTCCCTGGACATCCTTTCCATGCTTGTCAAACAGTAGTTGCTGATGCTTCCCCATGGACGTATTTCATATCACATATCCTTTGACACATGTACTGAGTCTTTACACACACCCTTCACTTCCAGCTTTAGAAGTTCTGGACTTTTTGTTCCATGCAGTATGGACCAGACTCTGACCAGGTTCCTGCAAGCCACTCCTGGAGCACATGGGCATTGTCTCCAGAAAATTCTGGCTGTTTACTATTAAGTACTGTATATCCAAAGCATGGGGAGAGAGCTGAGTGGTAGCAGGCCTGCTTCACAATCATGAAGTGTAGTAATAAGGGCGACAGGCTGCATTCCACCCGGCTACCGCACGGCTAGTTTTATACCCAGAAATAATTACACACAAACTGTATTCTTTTAAACACTGCCTGGCCCATTAGTTCCAGCCTCTTATTGGCTAATTCTCACTCCTTGCTTTAACCCATTTCTAATAATCTATGTAACCCCATGAGTTGTGGCTTACCAGGAAAGATCTTAACCTGCCTCTGTGTCCGGTGCGAGAATCATGGCGACTGTCTGACTCAGCTTTTTTTCTCCCAGAATTCTGTTCTGTCTACCACACTTACCTAATTTACTGTCCTGTTAAAGGGCCAAGGAAGTCTCTTTATTTAACCAATGAAATTAACACAGAACAGAAGACTCTTCCCCCATCAATGAAGACTTGGGTTTGATCCATAGAGCTCCTATAATAGAGTCAGGCATAATGTTGTGTGCTTTTACTGTCAGTACTAAGAAGGCAGAGGCAGGAGAACCCTGGAGTCAGTGTCAAGCCTGTCTAGCATACTTGGTGAGTCTCAAGGGTTTTAGATAGAGACCTTGTCTAGTCAATACTGCTGTGACACACTTGTAGGAGGTTCTAGAAATATTTTCCTAACTAAAATCTGGAGATCTGACTGTACTTGTTTCCTTCTAAGATTTTATTATTATTATTATTATTATTATTATTATTATTATTATTATTACATATTTGGACATTATTATATCAGGGATGCTTTCTTTCCATCATCTTCATAAATCCCTGTTCCTGCTTTAGTGAAACAGCATCATTTCACCAAACTTCTAATTGGATTTTTTTGTAGAAATCCCTGCTACACATTTCATTGTGATCCATCTTAAAGAGCTGAGTTTGTGACCTTTGCTTTACAACCACAAAGTTAGTTCTCAGCTCACAGGGGCTCATGTTCATGCCCACCAATTTTCCAGAAGTGGGTACTGTGTGAGAAAGGATCCAAGCCATTAAAGAATAAATTCAAGACTGAAGAGTGGTAGGAAGGAGAAATTACAGTTGGGGAAAACCACGGAGATAAAAGAAACAGGTGGTAGAAGAGGCAAAGAGGAGAAGGGATGAGGAAACTGGTTGAAAGGGACAGGAAAGAAAGTCCCCAAGCCTGCAGCAGGGCATCTCAGAGCAGAAGTTTTAAAGTGTGAAAAAGGAAAGAGGTTTTTTTTTTTAAAAAAAACTGCATTTTTAGTATAATTATATTGAAAACTTGTTAAAAGTTCTTTTAAAATTATTAGCTTAGATTTCAGATCTACACACACACAAAAAAAAACACACAGGAGAATATATATGTCCATGTCTCACTAGGTCTTGCCTGATTGTGCAGCCTGCAGAACAGAACAGCTCTAGGGTGTTGTGTCTTCTGTTGCTGGTAGGGAAAGTCTTGGAGACCAGGGGCCATAAGTGTGCTGGGAAACAACTGCTGGAGGACAGGGAGAGAGGTTGAGGGCTTCAAGCAGGTCACAGATAGAGATCTTTTTTTTTTTTTTGAGAATGAGTTAGGGGTATGGTTTAATGTGGGAGAATTGGGCATCTGATGCCCAACATTGCTGTGTGAAGGGACCCAGAGGGAACACAGTGAGTACTATGCTCACAGGTGGCACCTCACCCTCCCATGACAAGTGGCAGTGTTATGCGAGGAGGCCTTTCCTAAACTCCCAGACTCCATGTAGAATTTACCATGTGTTCTATGATGCCTCCTTTCCCTGTTTGTTCAGTAGATCTCAGTCCCAGGAAGACAGATACTGTTTAATGTATTTTAGTCCTTAATACCTCATATAAGTCACTAAAAGTACTTGTGAGATAAATCTTTTGTGTAACATAGTGTGCATCTGAGAGTTCTACCACCCTAAGACAGTCAAAGATGGCACAGAAACAAGGATTCAGAAGCTGGTGGACTTCTTGACTAGAGGCTTCTCTTCCTGCCTTCTTGCCCTTCAGAGGAATTCTGTGTGTCATCTAGTGTCGTAGACCATGAGTCCTTGACTTTCTGCTCCCTCTTTGTAGCTCAAATGCTTGTTTCTCTCACGGATGCAAACTCTCTTACTTGTAACGTCATTGTCAAGGCTGGTACCACACCTGGAGAGCCCTGGTGTGAAGGGCAGTGCTCAGTGGATGAAGAGCCTTTCCTTCAATATAAGGACAGCAATTTCAAACCTTTGGGTGACCTGGGAAATGCAGCAAATGGGACTCAAGTGTGGACGGATATGAGACAAAAGCTGGAATACTTGTGGAAAGAGCTCAGGAAGATGTTGACTAACATTAAAAAAGAGATTACCAAGATCAGTGGTAAGTGTGGGATCTGTACAGAGGCAGACAGGTGGCAAGAGAGAGGAAGGGCAGAGCACATGTGGGAATGAGATGGTGGTTGTATCTGTGTGAGAGAGTTGAGCATTGGTCCAACCTTGGAAGCATGTGGTACCCAGTGGGTAACAAAGGACAAGTCATGTGGAAATGATCCTGGCTCATAAGCTGGTGGGAAAGTCCTGACCTTTGGAGAAGTGATGGATCTATGAGAGTGAAGCATGATGGTATTGTGTGTGGTTCACAGGTCAGCGCACTTTACAGGCCACCATGCTTTCTCAGTATGAACAAGGACAAATTATTGGTGCCTCCTGGAGATTTAACATCAGTGGAATGTACACCTTCATCCTCAATACAATGAATATAAATTGGACACTGATTGATCATGAAGCTAGTGGTATCATGAATACATGGAAGGGTGATGAACACTTAATGAAAGATCTCAAGACAATATCCACAGCAGACTGCAGTTATTGGCTCACGGAACTTTTAAAGTACCAGAAGGAAAGCCAAGTAGGTATTACCTAGATCATCAGGGGGCAATTCCATTCCATTTGATATACTGGGTGGGAGATTTCTTGGTTGTCTTCCTGTCTGAGATCCAGTGATGACAACAAGGACAAAAGGGGAAGAAAGCTCTTTGCAGATGAGGTGTGAGGCATGTATGTGTGTGTAATAATTTAATCACCATGCATTCCTGCGTTGATGGCAATTTTTTGCATCATTCATTCTATTTCTCACCCTCTTCTATCTCATTAATTGTTCTCTCATTGTGGTTCTCACTGATCATTACAGTCTGAACATCTTGTATTTCCTGACCTTTCCCCCATTCTAGACTCACTGTTGATTTTCATCTCACCTGATCTGTCTTCTTCCCTGGCACCATCTTCACAGGTGAGCTTCTCTCCTGCCAGAGAAAAGATGAGGCCTCATCATAACCTTGCTTCCCCAATCATAGTTCCATGAGTCTTTGAGGACAGAGGATAATGCTTCTTCTCCCTTCCAAATCAGGATCCACCTAAACAGGTGTTTCATAGCAACAGGGGTGGAACTCTGTGTGTCACTGAATTGCATGAGCACCAAGAAACTAAAGTGAAATCTCCTTAGATCTGAGGTCTGGTCAAAGACTCAACTGTGTTTCCACTTCAGCCTTGCCAACTGCTGCTCCAGATGTGGTCCAGCCTTCGTCCATGGCCATCAAGACCAACATCTCTGTCCTGCTGATAATTCTCATGTGCTTGCTCCTGAATATTCTTCTCTGAAGAGAATACTTGGTAATTACAGGTACTGAGGGCAGTGTTGGGAGTGCAGTAAGAAACAGGTGGGTGAGGAGCAAGGACAAAATCCCTGAAGTCCTGATCTTGTCCCTCAACTGTATCATCTTGTTGAGAAGGAGGCAGGATACCTGAAGTTCATGTCACCTACTAGCAATAACATGTGCATGTTCTTCATAGGACAGCAATCATATCACAGACCAGTTGAGAATGAGGAGGGAACACAGCAGGTGTTTGATCAGAGCAGGTTTCTAATCAGGAGGGTTCTGTGATGCAGATGTGCACACAGCAGGAACACAAAAGAACAAGCTAGTTCCACTTAGGGTGTAAAGGGAAGAGCATTCCATCTTGCAGACAAAAATTAAGAGATATAAATAAAAAGATGACCCAGTGGCAAGACCACCTGCTGCTCATGCATCAGACCAGAATTCTATTCCCAGAACCCACATGGTAGTTCATGACTATACAATTCTAGGACCAGGAGAACCTGCCCTTTCTTCTTCTTCACCGAGCACAGGTATTCACACAGTGCACATACAGACATGCAGGCTCACATTCATACACACAAAATAGAATTGAATCAAGCAGCTGTAGCACCCTTCAGTACCCCTGGAGCAGTGTCCCCACTGGAGAAAGGAGGGACTGAGATGCTGATCTGGCCTACTTCTCCCATCTGGGCTTCTCAGATGGACAAAGTGTGGCAGGGACGGTCACATCCACACCTGTGTGTGATACACTGAAGCTGAGATTTTGGAGAAGAAAGTTGGATAGAGGTTCCCCCCCCTACTCTTCCAGCTGCACTCATCAGCCTCTGAGTCAGGAAGCAGAGCTAGTCATCACCACTTTATTCTCATCTCCAGGTCTGCAGCAGGGCCTGGAGCTCTGGGACTTGCGAAAAAAGGAGGAAGACAGTAGGGGATCCCAGATGGAGAGCCCAGAGGTGATGGAGGAGAGAACTAAAGGACCCTCAGTGAGGGTGGCTGTGGAGTGGTGATGACTGCTACAGGACACCCAGGAAAACTGACCGAGGCTCTCCTCAGACCCTTCAATAGATGTGTTTCCTTGCTGCAGGTTGAAGATGCTCCAGAGAAGTCATGAGAGTTCCATCAGCCTCCATCAGATGAATCAGGATGCTGTGGACACAGCATTTCATGGTCTTCACTCTGTGTAGTTGCTTGGGCCCTTTCTTATCACCTTGTACTCTTGGTGCTCCTGATTAGAATTTGCCCTTAAAATGGAACTACTTGAACTAGAAATGTGGCTATTACCCATTCCTAGCATAGGAAACAGGGTAACCCGATCTCCTTAGCAGAAATGTGTAGTTTTACCCCTGTGTGTATAACTGACCTGTATCTAGGTCAGACAGACTAGGAGGACTCCTACACTCCCTAAGATATTTGGCTGGCAGTTAAATACTGTTAATTATTGATTTTGCAATAGATATATATTATAGCCAAACCTATACTATGCAGCGTTTTTTTTAGAACAAAATAAGAAATGTATCTGTTATTTTAATATAACTATATATGATACAAAGGGATACTACATAAGTGAAAAGATAATATTTTAAGGTATTATTGCTATTATATGTTAGTTTCTGTGACATGCGCTAGGTCCAGCAATGGCCACATGCACACTGGGGAAAGAGAACCTGGAAGCTGCTCAGTCCGACAAGCTGGCTGTCCCTGCAGTGACAATCTGGCAGTGAAAGGCAGAAGGTCCTGGGAGCTGGTGCTGCTGGGTCCACATCCTCCTGGTTCGGGTCTGGGTCAGCGCTGCTCTCCACTGTGTCAGAGAAGCTTCTTCTGCAATCGAGACCCGGGATGGAAGGAGAGTGAACTCACACTGGTTTCCTCTGACTGCACAGGGACACTTTGCACAAGTGAACTAGCACTCACACACACATGTGACACACACACACGGGACAACATAAGAACCCTAAAGTATGGAGAGTTCACTGTTGAAAACAATATTTTTTTGAGGTACAACCTAACTACATAGTACAGCCTGGAATGGAACTCACTTTATAGACCAGGCTGATCTGGAAACTCAGAAATCTACCTGCCCTTACATCCCTAGCACTGGGCTTAAAGGTGTGTGCACCACACCTGACTGATTCTTGGATTTTGAGCTCTTAGGTTGTGCTACTAAAGTATCACTAAGGTAAGATGCACTATTTCTCCCTAATTAATTTGTAAACTACAGTGGCATTAAGTAGACTGGCCATACTCAGATATCTCAGGCATGACAAAAGGAAACCTGTAACAACGAATCCTAAGAAAGAGAAATTGAGGAGCAGTTGTTTAGTTGAAGTCACTGGTAATGTCTGTCCTTTATTTTCATTACTGGAAGACATCTGATTACTGACTTGGCATCTTTAAAATGTCATCTTTCTACTCGGATGTCCATGAACTTTTTCTTGTGATTGTCTTGCAGATGGTCATGTTTCTACAAATGTGTGCATGGCTGCATTGTATGACGTTTACATAAAAATGTTCAAAGAATTTTCTGGTAATTTTACTTCTCAAGGTTTGTAGCAATATGTATTTCATTTGTGATAAAGTAACGGTAATATCCTCTTTGTTCTTTGTCAATGTGTAAAAGTCCTGTAGGGTCGTTGGGTTGGACTGTATTGATATTTTGTTTGTGTTTTAACAAGTAAAGCATGCCTGAAGATCAGAGTGCAGAGCTAAGCCACTAGAGGTCAAGGAGTATTGGCACACACCTTTAATCTCCGAAGATGAAGGACAGAGGCAGAGGAATCTCTGTTAGTTCAAGGCTACCCTGGGCTACACGAGATTGAATCTGTCTACAAGAAAAACAGGGCTCCCACAAAGTTGACCCCAGAACTTGGGATCACAGGTCTTTAATCCCAGCACTAGGGAGGAAGAGAACAGAATGACATGGCTGGGTGGGGAGAGGAATAGAAGGCGGGAAGATATAGGAGCTCAGTGAAGTCTGAGGAGCAGTGCAGTCTGGGACAGTCAGTAGGAAGCGGTCTGAGGATGCAACCTGAGGACAGGACCTCCCGTTTGGTCTGAGCACTGGTAGAGACAAGAACTCTCTAGTGGCTGCCCCTTTGCTTCTCTGATCTTCAGCATTAACACCTATATATGACTCTGTTTTTATTATTAATACCAATTTGAATTCATATTACATCTGGCACCCAGATGTTTGGGGTATGAATTCATGAAACTAGCCTATGGCTTTGCAGCCACATGCATAGGCCAGAGCTGAAGTAGCAGGGTCTTCTTTCTATGTGTTGTTTTCATTGGTTGAATAAAGAAAACTGCCTTGACCTTTCAATAGGTCAAAACTTAGATAGCCAGAATAGACAGCACAGAATGCTGGGAGGAAGAAAGCAGAGTCAGAGAGAGCCACCATGGAGCCAGTCGCCAGCCGCCAGTCACCAGCCGCCAGGTCAGACATGCTGAATCTTTCCTGGTAAGCCACAACCATGATAGACATACAGATTATTAGAAATGGGTTGAATCAAGATGTGAGAGTTAGCCAATAAGAGACTAGAGCTAATGGCCCAGACAGTATTTAAATGAATACAGTTTCTGTGTAATTATTTCGGGTATAAGCTAGCCGGCCATCGGGAGCTGGACGGGAAGAGGTCTGCCTCTCCTTTTACTACACAGAGCTGTAGGCAGTCAGAGACATCACCATACCAGCTAGGTTTATCTCTTTCTCTTTCCTGATGGACATTCCCTGGAGCCATTCTCGGGCTGCTACCAAACCAGGTAGCTGCCTTGAAATCCAGCCAGGTTTCAAACTGTTCTGTGCAGCAGCAGTGAGCCTCATATCTTCATCGTCATCATCAGAAGATTGGTGAAAAAATTGGGAATTCTTAAAGAAAGGAATTAGTTAAAACATAGAGTTTTCCCACATTGAAATATGGGACAATAGAGAAATTAGGTCTCTGTATGATGACACAGTGCATGATTTAAAAATGGAGCAATTAAATGAAGGGATAATCAACTTAATCGGGATTGGCATACTGTAAATTATCATTTTGATAATCCTTGCTATTGCTTTAATAATTTTTGGTTAATGTCTTAAAAAATTGTTTGTGAAAAAAGGTGTTTGGTTTGACTACTAAAATACAAGCCTTAGAAAGACTTAATTAAATGTGACGGGAGCAGGAGCAGATCCAGGCAGGGACATTTGCAGAAGAAAGACTGGGGCAGTGACATAGGTTGGAGCAGGCCTGAGGTGTTGAGCTCCACGGGAGTGGGAGCAGATCCAGATCAAGGAGATTTGCAGAGGCAGGACTGGGCCACCAACCTGGGCTGGAGGTGCAGGTACAGGGGAACAACCACTGAGCCACTGGGCCAGAGCCAGAGATGACTGCGGGTCCTGGCATGAATCTGGGACCTTCGAGGGAATAGACCTGAGTCAGGACCCATGTGAATCTGGGCATGAGTCTGGAACCTCCAAGGAACTAGGCCTGAGCCAGGACCTCTGCGGGTCTGGCTTGAGTCTAGGATCTTTGATGGAGTAGGCCTGAGCCAGGTCCACACCCATGTCTGGGACTGAAAACAGGGCAATCCCAGAACAATGATTTTTCTAAGTATAATTCAAATCAAATAGAATTTGCCTCCCTTCTGTATTATGCAGAAGGTGCCAAATGCAGGCACTGACCAGCCAAGGGAGATTCAAGGTAACTAACCCTTTGCCATCAGGGAAACTCCTTAAGGAGTCTTCTCAAAGGCCTTTCTGCCAAATCTGGTTCAGTACTTTACTGTAACCACAGAGGAAACTATTTCCTAGAGCAATTGAAGAATGTAATACCTATTGCAAGAAGCCATGCTGTTGTGGATAATAGAACATCTATAGAAGAGAGTAGAAAACAATTTAGGAGATACAACAAAGCAAATATTTTGGCAAACTTGTGTGAACGGACAAAGAACAAAATTAAAAATACAAATAAATGACTTTGTCACTGAATGTCTGATAGACATGGGTAGGATGTAACAATAATTGCACTAGAATCTTAGCATCCAAACTGGCATATTCAGAAGCTAAATGTTCAGCTTTTAGGGATTAGAACTTTATCTTAGGTAAAGCAGAGCATGAGAATGTATAGGGGCAAGAGGAAGGAGAGGAAAATTAAAACCATATCTGGCTAACATAGCAATGACGTGTTTTGTGACAACAATGGAATACTCAGAGTAGCATTCCTTCAATCTGAAAAAAAAACATAAAATAACATATGTCCCTGGGAATTATTTTAGAAGGTATCATAAAGAACAGTTACCAACCATTCAGGTTGTACAAGAACAGGGCACAACAGCTGCTGATCTTCCAAAGGCATCAACTGTCCTACCTTCAAAATAGTTGACAGACAAACCTGTATGGGCTGTGCAATGGAAGTTAACAATGGAGAATGTAGTAAGGAGCGGTGGTGGGCTGCGTCCCGCCACCCGGCTAGCATATGCCCCGAAATAATTACATGAAAACTGTATTCTTTTAAACACTGCCTGGCCCATTAGTCCCAGCCTCTTATTGGCTAATTCTCAAATTTCGATTAACCCATTTCTAATAATCTGTGTAGCACCAAGAGATGGTGTCTTACCAGGAAGGATTCTAGCCTACATCCATCTGGGGTCAGAGAATCATGGCGACTGCCTGACTTGGCTTCTTTCTCCCAGAATTCTGTTCAGTCTACTCCGCCTACCTAATTTTCTGTCCTATTAAAGGGTCAAGGCAGTCTCTTTATTTAACCAATGAAATTAACACAAAACAGAAGACTCTCCCCCATCAGGAGATATTGTAGGTTTTAGATCAGGTGGCACAGGAACAACAAAAGGACCAGAATATTGAAGAATCAACCAGCGCTTAGAATTCTCTTATATTTGTTGTTAAAAAGAAATCTGTAAAATGGAAATTGGTAACAGATCTAAGAGCTGTCAACAAGGTAATTCAAAATGGACCCTCTACAGTCTAAAATTCTTTTACCTTCCCTATTGCCTAAAGTAAGGCCTCTTATGGTCATTGATATTAAAAATTGTTTCTTCACTATACCTTTACAAGAAAAGACACAGAGAAATTTGATTTATAGTTCCTACTTACAATAATCCTCAGCCTACTATGAGACATCAAGAAAATTCTCCCACAGGAAATGTTAAATAGCTCCATCTTGTGCCAATATTTTGTACGGCTAACGTTGGAAATGATATGGAAAAAATTTCCTCTAGTTCAACATTATATGAGCAGCAATTTGCTCTCTGATTCTAATACAGATACTTTGAAAAGAATGTTTGAAGAATCAAAAGATACTTTGAAAAGAATGTTTGAGAAGCAAAGAATATTTTTGCCTTCTTGTTGATTACAAATTGTTCCTGAAAAATACAAAGAGGAGATTTTATTTGAAATCTTGATTTTACTGATAGCCATGTTATGACCTAAAACTGTGTCTTGCTTTGTGGTTTACATTACAGTGACTGAAGACTTTAGCAAGATGCTTTGGGTATAATTTATTTTAAAAGTTTCTGTTATGGCTGGAGTGATGGCTCAATGATTAAGAGCTTACTTTTCTTGCAGAAGCTCCAGGTTCTATTCCGAGCACCTACTAGTATCCCACAACCATCTGTAACCCCAGGTCCAATGGATCTCATGCCTTATCTGGCCTCCAATGGCATCAAGCACACATGGAATGCACAAATACATGAAGACAAAACATTCATACACATAACATAAAAATAAATCTCAAAAAACCTTTCACAAAGTTTCAAGTATAAGACTAGAATGATGTCTCGGAGGCAAAGGCACTGGCCATGAAATCCTTATGATCTGGGGTGGACTCAGGGAGTCATAGTGAAAGGAGAGAACTGAATTCCCATGGTGTCCTCTTGCCTTCACAGGGATGCCAGG